TTAAACCAACAGACCTCAAAACCCAAACTCAATGACTGAATCTCAAGCCATTTCCAAGTCCAAACAACTAGGAAATTGATTCAGGGAGAGGAGGATTTCAGATTACCAAATTAAAACTCAATGGAACAGTGTTTTCTACAGAAATCGCAGCCGTTTTCTATTCTGGATTTTTTAGCTCTTGTCCCCATCTCTCTCTTGGGTCTCTTCCGTCTGCCTTGCAAGGCAAGAATAAGATGCCTTTATAGGCAAGGGAAGTAGGGCAGCCTAGATAATTCAGCTTTTCAATTAGGCCCCTTTTCAATTTTTATTTTAGCTTAACTACCCTTAGTTAAAAATCTGAAATTCAACTTAAACCCCCACCCAAACTTCCTAGAAGCTTCCAGTTCAGTTATAAAAGATTCCCTTACCCCAATTTCCTTAACTACCCTTCAAATCTATGAGAAATACCTTTCAGAAACCCAAATGGGTCATGGGTCAAATGACCCAACGACTTGAGCCCCAAATTGAATGGGTTGCTCTTGCAAATGGGTCATAGCCACCCAAAACCCAAACGACACAACTAATAAAGTGTAAACATATGCTGAAATGATCTAAATAATTAAAAATCTATACTAATTGACTTACTAACTTGAATTAACCAACTCATAAATCTAAACTAAATTGATCAACGGCCTGAATACACTAATTAAGCAAAAGATTCGGAACTATGCATGCATAAAAAAATAAAAATAAAAAGAAATCAAGAGAACCAACACTGAAGATGGACACAAACAAAGAAAANATAAAGAAGCAGAGGCAATTCAAGCAATTCTGGAAATTCAACTAATGGAACTAACACTTAATGAAATTGCAACTAAATTGCTAACAAACTGCTTAAACTAATTAAAGAAAAGAAAAGAAAGCTTCTAAAACTATCATGCGTGTGAATGACACTCTGAAACTGGAAGGCTAAAAAGTTCAAAAGAAAGTGAAGAAGCAGATGACCATGGAAGGTAAAACAAAAAGAAAAAGTAAAGAAAAATATAAACTAACAAAAGAAACAAGAAATAAGAGATACCTACGGAGACCTCAATGCATGAAGGAAGGAACCGAAACTTCCAATTCTTTGGATTTTCTGGCCTCTTACGATATTAATCGTGTGTTCTTAATAAGAACACACGAATAAAACCGAAATTGACCCAAATCTTCAAGAAGCACCGAACTTGAGACCTTTTGGGAATTAGGGCTTTTCTCTGATTTAAAATTCGAACTGTTTGAAGACGATTCGAGAGAAAGGGAGTAGAAATTGGTGGAGAGGAGGTGGTGGGGGTTCAGGGGTGTGATTTTGGTGGAGTTTGGTGGTGGCGCCGCCACCAGAGAATGTTAGGGCGGCGCTAGGGTTCCACCTTTTGATTTGAAATTCGATGGGTTTCACCGGGATTCGAGAGGAGGTGATCAGGGATTTGGATAGAGGGAGTTGAGGAGAATATTTGGTGTTAGTTTGAGGTCGGTTTGTGATGGCTCCGCTACCGGTGGTGGGGGAATTTCTGCGCCGCTACCGGTGGTGGGAGTTTCTTCTACCCTCTTGTATGTATGGATGTGTATTGGGGACAATGCACAATTTAAAGTGTGGGTTGAGGAGATTGTCTAGGTGACTTTCTATGCTATTTTAGTTGTGTTAGTTTAGTTGAATAATTTTTTTTTAAAATAGAAAATATTGGACTTTTCCTGACGATGGATCTATTAGACAATTTTCTTGAGGGATTTAAGTCTAAAAAGAAAAAAAAAAGATTTTCTTTTGTTAGGTAGTGTAGCAATTTCCCCTTGGTTTTTCTTTGTGTCGCGGTTCTTTCCCAAGGGTTTTGCTTGAACCGGGTGTAGTTAGTATTTTTCAGGAATAGAAGCCATTGTGTTGTGTTTTAAATTGAAGCAATATCTCTTGACTTTATTATGCCTTGAGAATAGTGAGTACTTTGGTTGTGACGCTTAGGCTCAATTTTTGACTCTTGTATAAGTACCTTAAATTGTATAAGCTTAACTTTGCTTAATTGCTTTGACTAGAGTGTCTTGATAAAACTAATCCTGAGTGAGTTATGTGCCATGTGTGTGTGTGAGGTTTGTGTATTATTCTGTGCATTGAATTTTATTCCTAGAACTTGCCCCGTGTGTTTGCAAAGCGAAATCGTAGTTTTGTTCAGTCTTGGAAGTGGTATAATCGTTTCTTTGTTGAGCCAGATATGTATATTTTACCCGCCTAATTGTTATGTATCGTAGTTAACCCCTTTGAGCCTGTAATCATGTTTCTTTGGCAACCACATTACAAACCTTACCCATTTGTTTGATTAACCATATATTTGAACCTTCTAACCTCTCATGAGCACTTTAATTGTTATGAACTGTGTAAAAGTTAAAGTGTGGGGTAGTTGGTCTGATTTTTGAGTGGATCTAATGAAATAAGGAGAAAGGTGCACTGTTTTGGAAAAGTAAGAGCCACTTGGATTTCAAAAAAAAAGAAAAAAAATAAAAAAGAAAGAAAAGAAAAGAAAGAGTTGTATTGTTGTGAAAAAAAATATTCCTTGATAAGTGGCGTCTCTTGATGTAATTGTGCTTAAAAAAGTATGGGGTAATATACATTGAGGTGAAGGTGGAGTTTGGTTTAACATAAGTATGGGGTTTGAATGTTAAAGTATATGTATTAAAGTGCTTAGGGAGGTGTAGTCACTCTTATATCTAAATGTATCCTACCCGTCCCGCAGCCTACATTACAACCAAATAAAGTCCTACTTGATCCTAGACTGAATGAGCTCGATTAGTAGAGTAGTACACTACGGGCAAGCCTATGGTGCATCTTTTGTGGCATATGAATGTTATTTCTGAGAGTGAGTTAATTCTTGCTATCTTGAGTTCCTAAGTGTTCTTAAATTTTATTGTGTGGAACTACTCTCTTTTGTTGTGTGAGGGCACTTGATTCATGAAAGAGAGGTAATGTCAGTGACCTCTATGTTAGAGTAAGTGGGTGAGTTGTGAATAATGCGTGGTACTTGCAAGTCAAATCTTGAGGTCAAGATGTTACGCTTTTGTGCTTAGTCTATTTTAAATATCCTTGGTGTGATGAGTTAGGAGAATTGTTTAAAGAAAAAGGTCGTGTCTATATAAAGTGTAGTTTGATTACTCGAGGATGAGTAATGGTTTAAGTGTGGGGTGTTGATGATAGGCTATAATTGCGTATTTTAGTCGCATATTACACTCTAATTTACTGCACTTTAATTGAGTTTGAGCTTTAATCGCTAGTGTTTTACACTAACTATGTGTTTTATGCCTTGTAGGAGTGATTCCGAGCTATATAGATGTTATAGAATAAATTCAAGTGATTTGGAGCTTTGAAGTCTGAGTAAAAGCACAAGGAAATTAAGCCTGGATCGTGTTCGAGGGTCAAATTTGATAGTTAAGAACGAACGAAGATTCGAGTAGGCATATTGCGCACTGTCTAGTAAAATAGACCTAACTTTTTGCTCCTAACTCCATTTGGGCTATATAATATATAGTAACAACAACAACAACAACAGCCCAGTATGGTCCCACAAGTGGGGTCTGGGGAGGGTAGGATGTACACAGCCTTACCCCTACCCTGGAAGGGCAGAGAGACTGTTTCCGATAGACCCTCGGCTAAAGAAGGTGAGAAAAGTCCTGGTAGCAGGTAGTAGCAAAACAATAATTAGAAAACTAAATCGGAGATAGCAACAGATAATATGGAAGGGGTACTGATAACAAGTAGCAGCAAGATACCATATTTAGAAAACTAATTCCAAGGCAGCAAACTATGGAATTACCAATGGCAAGTAACAACGAAACGAGACATGCGAATATAGAAAACTAAGGAGAAAAAGGGTACCGAACTAGCGCTAATACTATCGAGCTAGAGAAGACAAAGGGAGGTGCACGACTACCTACTAATCTTCTACCCTAATCTTCAACCTTCACACCCTTCTATCTAGAGTCATGTCCTCGGTTAGCTCAAGAAGCGCCATGTCCCCCCTGATCACCTCTCCCCAAGACTTCTTTGGCCTACCTCTACCCCTCCTCACACCTCCTAAGGCCAACCTCTCACATCTCCTGACAGGGGCATCTGCACTTCTCCTCTTAACATACCCGAACCACCTCAACCTCGCCTCACGCATCTTTGCCTCCACAGGGGCCACTCCCACCTCGTCTCGAATAACTTCATTCCTAATTCTATCTAACCTAGTATGCCCACACATCCATCTCAACATCCTCATTTCCGCTACCCTCATCTACTGGACATGAGAGGTTTTGACTGGCCAAAACTCAGCCCCATACAACATACTCGGTCTAACAACTACCTTGTAGAACTTACCCTTAAGTCTCAATGGCATATTCTTATCACACAAGACACCGGAAGCGAGCCTCCACTTCATCCACCCTACTCCAATACGGTGTGTGACATCCTCATCTATCTCCCCATCCTTCTGGATTATAGATCCCAAATACTTGAAACTCTCTCTCCTAGAAATGACTTGCGTATCGAGTCTCACATCCCCGTCCGCCTCCTGGGTAACACCGCTGAGCTTGCACTCCAAGTATTCTGTCTTGGTCCTGCTCAACTTGAAACCCTTAGACTCCAGGGTATGTCTCTAGACCTCCAGCCTCTCGTTAACGCCACCTCGCATCTCATCAATCAGGACTATGTCATCCGCAAATATCAAGCACCAAGGCACCTCCCCCTTAATGCGACGTGTCAAAGAATCCAACGCCAGGGAAAACAAAAACGGACTAAGTACTGATCCCTGATGCAACCCGATCTCAACCGAAAAGAAATCCGAGTCTCCACCTGCTGTCCTAACCCGTGTCTTAGCTCCATCATACATGTCCTGAATCACTCTAATATACACTATAGACACTCCTCTAGCCTCCAAACATCTCCATAGAACCTCTCTGGGGACTTTGTCATAGGCCGTCTCCAGGTCAATGAACACCATGTGCAAATCCTTCTTCACCGCCCTATACTGCTCCACATATCTCCTCACAATATGAATGACCTCTGTGGTCGACCGTCTCGGCATGAAACCAAACTGGTTCTCGGAAATGGACACACACCTCATCAGCCTCCCTTCAATCACGCTCTCCCACACTTTCATCACATGGCTTAACAACTTGATACCCCTATAGTTGTTGCAGTTTTGAACATCCCCCTTATTCTTGTATAGCGGGATCATTGTGCTCCGCCTCCATTCTTCGGGCATCTTCTTCTTCCTAAAAATGACGTTAAACAACCCAGAAAGCCATTCCAAGCCCTCCTTACCCACGCTCTTCCAGAATTCTATCGGGATCTCGTCCAGCCCCGTCGCTCTACCCCTACTCATCCTGCGCATAGCCCCTACAACCTCCTCCACTCAAATACGCCTACAGTACCCAAAATCTCGCTACCGCTCCGAGTGCTCTAACTCCCCCAGCACAATGCCCCTATCTCTCTCTTCATTCAAGAGCCTATGAAAGTAAGACTGCCATCTCTGCCTAATCTGAGCCCCCTCCAATAAAACTCTTCCCTCATCATCTTTTATGCATCTCACTTGGTCCAGATCCCGGGCCTTTCGCTCCCTCACCTTCGCTAGTCTGTACAGCTTCCTGTCCTCACCTTTATCCCCAATTTCTTTGTATAGACGACTAAACGCAGCGGTCTTAGACGTAGTAACCGCTAACTTCGCCTCCTTCCTAGCCTTCTTATACCCCTCCATGTTAGCACTCTTCTGCCCCTCATCAATACTCTCTACGAGCTTCAAATATGCTGCTTTCTTGGCTTCCACTTTCCTCTGAACCTCTTCGTTCCACCACCAGTCCCCTTTATGGCCACCAGAAAAACCCTTTGAGACCCCTAACACCTCTCTCGCTGCCTCTCTAATGCAATTTGTTGTCATAGACCACAAACAACTCGCATCCCCGCTACTCTTCCAGGCCCCCAAGCCAGCAACTTCTCCCCCAACTCCTGGTCCTTGTCCTTAGTCAATGCACCCCACCTGACCCTAGGTATACCAGACATAGCCCTCTTCTTCCTCGTCCACCTGATCTCTAAGTCCATAATCAAAAGCATATGCTGGGTCATAAGACTCTCACTCGGGATGACCTTGCAATCCGTGCATAAACCTCTATCACATTTTCGGAGAAGCTATATAATATATAGTAGGAAAGCTAAATTAAAGGGCTACAACTTTCATGTTTTACGTTTTTCCAAATTACAAATAGAACAGGGTGAAAACGCGGTCGAAACCGCAACTGCGGACCTGGACGCAGACTGAGGCGGTGCACTGTGAAAATACCGCGCCAGGGTTGCGACCGCGAGCGTCCAGACTTGAAAAATTGTCCTTTTCGCGTAGGAGAAGGTATAATTGTTTGGGCCCAACCCTACTTGGTATATATACATGGAAACACGGTATTTTGAGAGGTTGGACATAATTTAGACCTAAGGAGGCTAAGGAGACCGGAGATTCGACCTAAGGAGGCAAGAACACACTAGGAGCAAGGCGGAGAATTCTTCTACGAGTTTTTCACTTCCTTCTTCCTATTTCCTTTATTCGTTATGAATTCTAGTATTGTATTTTTGCATAATATTATGAATAGCTAATTTGTTATCTAGAGTTTTGATAGAACCTTTTGTAGGATGAACTCTTGTTATATTTTTATATAATTAAGCCGTTGGATTTCTCTACTTGTTCAACTAAGTGTTTGTTGTTGTTGATTGAATGACCATCAATTGACTGTGCCTATTTAGTGTGTAGTGGTTGAGAGAGAGTACATATTTAGGTAGTTGTTTAACAACGTCACGCCTAACGTATGTGAGAAATCGATATAGTGGGTTTAAAGGCAGGTTTAGAAATAACAAAGCCTTCACGTGGTCATAATGAGCGGTTAGATAATGCCAACTAGCGTAGTTTGAGAGAATATGTCTAGTAAATTATTGTAGTTGCTCGAGAAAGAATTACGGCACCTAAATTGCTCACAATCAGTAAAGAATACATCGGCGAAATTGTAGGGAACATAGCTGTAAGATTCCGACAATTGGGGAAATCACAACTCTAGACCTCCTTAATTTAGTCTCCAACCCTTTGTCTCGTTAGTTGATAATTTTACCGCTTTGTAGTATTTGCTAGTTAATTAGTTAGAAATATAAATTTCAATCTTTATAATTTAGAAAACTGTTCAAACTTGTCTTCTTAGTGATATTAAAGAGATATAGCTAAGCCTTAGTTCTCTGTGGGATTCGACTCCGGACTTTTAGACCGGATTATAATTGTAGTGACCACTTATCCTTTTTAGGACTAGAGTTGGGCATGATCACCAACCTCTTCAAAGTAGTCAACGGACAAATGTTGAGACTCGAACCCCCATTTCTCAGGACCCTGGCAATAAATTTATCCTCCAACCGCACTGTGATGTGTAGTGCCATGTTATGACCCAGTCCTTCTAGTGGCAACTTGTCTTCATGAAAAGTGATCTTGTGGATTTTTGACACTTGACCCACCATACTGGCCATTTCTCCGCTAGTGATATTGTTGGGTACATAAGCTTCGTTCAACACTTTCATCAATGCATTCCTATGCGCTTCAGAATTATGTAGTAGTGATAGAATGGATTCTGAGCAGCGGTTTTGTTCAGATGATCAACCACAAAATATTCTCTTGCTTGCGCCTTTCTCCAAAGATTGTCTGGTCCAGTTTCAATGATAGGCTATTTGAGAGAGGCTTCTTTACTTGTTCCTCCTTAATTCTCGGGTGTGTAAACCCTACAGGTCCTGGTCATACCTTGAGCTGCACCAGTTTCTTCCATTTTCCCCTTTCCTTTCCTTCTCGCCTTTGCAGCATAGTCCTAAGGTATAGCTTTAGGGTGATAAGAGGGGTTAGGTGCTACCGTCACAGTAAAAGGTGTGGTTACTTCCACCTCAAACGGGGTTGGTGCGGCTGAGGGAGTTGTTGCTTCAACCTCGAACGGAGTTGGCATGGCTATTTCAACCTCAATTGGTGACTAAATCTGCACTATAATAGGTGTGAGAGTGACTGGAGGTATTTTTGGTTCATCCCCTTCACGAATAAATCCAATTGATCCTTCTAGATCCCATTCTTCATTAGCTTCGATCACATTCCCCCTCGACCCTGTGATTCGGGAGAGGGTTATTGCGGACGTTTGGCGCGACCTCCTTTGCTTGTATAACCTTGGTTTCAATCAACGGCTGAATCTTATCCTTCAAAGTGCGAATTCATCAATAGTATAAACCTTCATGGCCAAGTGGTAGGCACATGTCTTATTTGGATTAACCCACTGGAAGGAGATTTCCATGGCAACGGCGGGAATAAGAGTGACGTAACTGGCAGCCTTCAATCTTTCATACAACTGATCGATGGGTTCAGCAATGGGAGTGTATTGTCTGGGTGGTCTACGGTCGAAGTTTGGTCTGGGTTTCTGATAGTTTTGGCTGGCTGGTGGTGGTGAATGGTAATATGCTGGTTGAGTGTTATAAGTATAGTAGGTGGCGGCGGATTGTTGGTATTTGGGAAGTGAAGGCTGATATGTAGGTGGTGTTTGGTGTGTAAGGGGAGACTTCGGACCTTGGGCTACCATCACTGCACCGACTTCTTTCTTCTTAGAGATACCTCCCGACTGCAAGGCTTTGTTTGTAGCCTGGAGTGACTCAAAATTTGTCACCATTCCGCTTTTGATTCCTTCCTCTATTCTTTCTTCCAGTTTGATGATATCAGAGAACTTATTGTTTTCAATAACAATCAACCTTTCATAGTATTGTGGATCTTGAGCTCTGACGAAGAATTTATTTGTCTGTTCTTCTTCCAGTGCTGGCCTTACTTTCGCAGCTTCTGATCTCTATCGGGTAGCATACTCACAAAAAGTTTTTGTGGGCTTCTTCTTAAGATTTTGAATGTAGAAGACGTCTAGCGCTTTTTCTGTATTAAACCTGAACCGATCTATAAAATCTGACACCATGCTTACCCAGTTAACCCATTTCTTTGGGTTTTGACTGATGTACCAGGACAAGGTGTCTCCAGTAAGGCTCCTCATGAACAGCTTCATGTGGATTCTTTCGTCTTTACCAACCCCTACAAGCTTGTCACAATATGTTCTCAAATGTACCTTTGGATCACCTGTTCTGTCGAACATTTCGAACTTAGGAGGTTTGTAACCCTCTGGTAGTTCTACGTCTAGCTGGATACACAGATCTTCATAATTCAAACCTTCGATGCCTTTACCACCTTGAACACCTTGGACTCGACTAGTAAGCTTCTTGAACTCTTCTGCCATGTTCTTGATGTGCAGGTCCTTCTCGGCGGGTTCGGGTATGTATAAGGTCTGTTGTGGAGTGTGAGGTAAGATTTCCATATATATGGGATTGCTTTGATGGAATCCAGGAATTTGGGCATGGTGGTGGTCATTGGTTGAGTTTTGGGAATAAGTTGTGGTGCGTTTTGAGGAGTGTAGTAGGTGGTGGTTTGTGGATACTGGGTTGGATGATGATGATGTTGTGGAGGAGTTGGTACTGGTGGAGGATTTGGATTTTGAGGAGGTGTGTCATATTGGTGAGGTGCGGGAGGATTTTGTTGGTTTTGTGTGTTCTGGGGAGGTGCTGGGTTTTCGATGTTTTGTTGGTTAACGTCGGGGACGCTAAGGGTAAGGGAAAAGTTTGCCATGTTCCAGACCTGCTCAAGTTCCCCTTGTAACTCCTGTATCTTCTATTCCAACCGTAAAACCAACTCATTTTGTGTGGGAGTACTCCGACCAACTGAAGTCTCGACGTTCTCCTCATGCGTAGCACTGTATTTCCTAATGTTGCTTGTATCATCCATCCTGGATTTTCCTTTGCTTTTAGGATCACTTGGAGGAAGAGGAGGTGGAGGACCTCTAGATCTGGTGTGGTATGCTGATGATGCCAGTATGTGCGAACAAACCTTAGGAGATGGGAATAAGCAAATAAAGAAAAGAAGAAAACAAAAGGTAAACAAGTCAGTAAGGGGTATTAAAAGATGCTTGCGGTATATAAACACATATTGCGGAATTAAAAATTCGCGTCCTAATTTGGGGACCTCATTGTGCTCGAGATAGGCCTAAGCGACGTATTAATTTGGAAAAAACCGATGCCAATAACTGTGTCCTTTCATTAATGTGATAAATAAACCAAATCTCAACTAAAACGACAATAATTATAAAGGGTCACTAATGGCATTCGCCTTATTATAACCAAAGCCTAAAACGAGTCTAAAAGGCAAGTAAAACATAATTCTTAATCTATTTGGTCCCAGATGGACCTTCTCCATGCTTGTCCTTCTTTGCTCCATCGATTAGATTCCCCAGGTCGTGCATGTCTAACAAAAGATATTCCCTTGCTAGGAGCCCTCCTTCATTGCCATCCATGTTTTGACAGCCTGCAACCATGTTTCTCATCTTTGCTTCAAGCTCTATCAACCCATGCTCTAAATATTCCAACCTCTCTGTTGACTTAGTGGCGATTCTCTCCATTCGTTGATTGCTTCCATATCTGTTTTGTGTTGTTCCAAATACCTTGCTTCAGACTCGAAAACACTTTTGCACAGCATCCTGTATTTGACTTGTGCTTCAGCAGCGTCGTCTACAACCATATTATTCAGATTAATCCCGGGCTTGACATCCCCTGCTATATCATCTACCAACCATGATGGATAGAAGTGCACATGGCCAGCATGATACCGATCTGGCTCGATGGTATCTTTCTCCACAATGATCTTTTGATGCCACATGTGTTGTGCCTCGAACATGAATGGAACGAAATTCCCTTGGAAGTCTGCTTTGTATTGAACCATTTTGGAAACTCATGGTATAACCTGTTTTCTCCCAACTTGCCTCACAACTCTGATAGGAGCATAAGGATAGATTTCCTCAA